CCGGCGAGGGGTGGCAACCACTGCTCCTACCCCCCCGGGAAAAGGAAAAAACAAAGCGGCGGACGCGAAGCAACAACTGCAAGCCATCATGGCGGACCGCCGTTTTTTTTTTTTGTATTGCGCGTGCCCGTGGGCGAGGAGAGCCGCTCGAATCTGTAGGCGCGCCGCGCTTTCTACGGTCGGCCATGACTCACACACAACCCTAGCTGACTTTCTACGGTGAGGGGCACTCGTGGTGCAGACGCAGCAGCCCTCGCGTGCCTCTGCAAGGGTACTTTGGAAAGTGCTCCAAATACTTTGAGAGGGTTGTCAAAAAGTTGGAACGAAGTGAAGCAAAGTTTTCGCGCCCAACTTCGTTCCAAATATTTTTGAAAAAAATGGACAAACGCCTACATACAGGTTCCATTTTTTTGACACTTTCAAAGATTTTGACAAAAAGTCGGTCAGTTTAAAACGGCCCTTATCGGCGAGAGGGACAAAAAAGAGGAGAGTTGCTTATCGGCTCCCAACGAGAGTCAGTGGCCCGAAAAAATATCCGTCGTTGCACAAGCTTTCTCCTATACTGAGCAACATCATGATGCAAACGACATGGCATTCCCACCAAGGGGAGAGTGCTTTCCGTCCCCGCACTACAATACGGGGTCCTGCTCAATTGCCCAACGGTGAGAAAAAAGGTAGTATTGATTCATTTCCCCGTCTTGCTGATCTCAGTCGACGATGGGATGCGTGCCGAAACCCAGAGAACGAAAAACGGCTCGTCTGTCCAGAGTCTCTTGAGGGCGAGCAACATGAGATTATTATCCCCCCAACACACTCACCCTTAGCAGGATGCAGCGCACTCTCCATGCGACTCGCCGAATACCTCACTGCGCTTCGCGCTTGGTGGTGTGAGAGCCTGGTTTGGTGAGAACCCGGCGTGCTCCGTCCCGGCTTTGTTGGGATGCGAGGTCAAAGGTCAAACGACTACGGCATGCACGACTGTGAGTACGCTCCTCCCGCCGCCGTCCTTTTCACCTTGAGTCACCCCCTCAACGATTCCACCCCCACCCTTCTCTGTCAATGCTCGAGCCACGCCCATAACCCCTCCGCTTTATTCCCCTCCCATTTGTTGACCGTGGCGCTCTATGCACCTCCCTATGGTAGCTTGACCCCGGCAACAACGATATTTCTGCTTGCCCAGGCGGGGGGCATCCAACGAGAGGACTGGGAAGTACGCCGGAGGCGGGGCGGAAAGAGAAGACTGTAAATAAATACTGTCATAACCACGAGGTTCGGTTGTAACTTTTGTGGAGTCGGTGGCGGTGTCGGGCGAGAAAGGGAATCCCGACGGCGTTGAAGCGGCCCTTGCGGTGATCGACAGGCTACTTGGGTAGTCTTTTGGCTAAAGCCGCTGAATGTGGCCGTATACTCCTCCTGAAAGGTGGTGGCTATTCAATTGCCCAGGAGGCAAGACTTTTGCTCTCATGTTTTTGTTGTTGCTGCTGTTGTCGGTAGTACTTTGGTTGTGGTCGTTTTGTTCTTGGTGGCGTCGTTCGTTCGTGTGTCTGCACATGCAGAAAGGATCTGAGGACGGTTCTGTGTTCCGTAGATAAAGGGACCTTCTGTGGTACCTGTTGTGGTAGTCAGCGGTGCCCCATGCTGCGTCAGTCTGTATGGGGCACTCTCTATCTTCTCTGTCTGTCCTGCGTTTGTCCTGCGGATCTAATACAAGCCACCAACGAGGCTTCCTAGTCACTGGACACAAATACGGGCACACCCGGCACGTACTCCGGCTCACAGAGTGATCAGTATCGTTTCCGTTGGAACGATGAAAGCCAAGAGACACACGCAACGTGCAGGAGTAGTCTATCTAGTGCTACCGCGGCAACGGACAGCGGATACAGAGTGTTATCGTGGGTGGGTGGAAGTCTTGGATCGGTGAACCTGGAAAGTACATCTGCCCTCCTTTCCCGAGTGCTGGTATTGGCCATATATAAGGATGTGCTGCTTCTTCTCCAAATTCATATCCAGTTAATAGTTTTGGCGTTGGTGCTGCCGGTGTGTCAACGTGCTTGATCGAGAGATGAGGCGTGGTTTGCCACGTGCTGGAAGGCATGAAGCACACGAATCGCTTTTTATGTGGAGGCTGGCCTTCTCTTGTGGGCGCCGATCTCCGTAATCCTACAAAAATGTCTGGCAATATATACCCCGATGATCGATGTAAATATGTTGGAGGACCAGGACGACCTGCAAGCTCACGCCACGGTCTGCGGTTTGGGAACCCTGTCGCGTTCGTCCAATACCATAGGACAAGACCTACCTGTGACTGAGACGCACGCAAGAACCTACCGGTCGATAGCGCATGATTGGGAGGGAGAGGGCGCGTTTCTTTTTTATCACCTGGTGGAGAAGGTTGAAGGAAGCTCCTCCCGATTTTTTCTGTTTTCTCTCTATTGGTTTTTGGTTAGACCGCAAGGCATTTCAGACAGCCTCGATAATGTACAGAAAATTCGTCTGGCACACACCATATTTCGATTCTCGTTGGGTCGAGTGACACCTCATGCGCACGTTGCTGAAGGAAACAAACTCTGTGGACTTCTCGTTGTTGCAAAAGTTGCGAGTCGTGTGAAGTATTGCGGAAGGTCAGGGTAGACGCAGGAGAGGACGGGATTAATTGTGAAAAACACCACCAGTGATTGGTCGATGGCGACCGATTACAAAAGTCGGCAACGGGGGAAGGGGCAAACGGCTTAAGCTACGCTGGTGGCCAGAGGCAGGTTGCGGGTAGGTTGGGGGACCAACTACAACCTGGGAGGCGGAGGTTACAGGGAAGTTGCAGCCCAAAGGGTGCAAGTTATCCCGCATCTTGAATGGTGGCGTTATTGAATAATTCCAATCGACACAGACAGGGTCAAGGTCGAAGTCTGCCTCCCAACCTCCATACCCCAGGTAGTGGTTGGTGCCCAACCTGCCCCTCTGGCCACCAGTGTAGATGTGTTTCTTCTTTGCTGTGGTGACGTGAGGTGGCTTTGATCTCCATCCTACGAAACCCCCCCCTCTGCTTGGCACACATAGTAGTAGTGCTCGGAGTGTCTGAAGTCAGGAGTCATAAAGGGGTTCACTTTCCTTCTGGTGGAGAGCTTGCCAGTCAACCTATAACAAGACTATTGGTGAAAAAATGAAATGTATATCAATTGTTGGGGTTGGTTGTTGTTGTTGTTGTTGTTGTTGTTGTTGTTGTTGTTGTTGTCTTCACATCATAAACCGTTCCGATCTCTCTCTACCCAGTACCTTCGTATGTCCGTACTGATCCAACACTCGACGCGGTCGATTCCCGTGGTCACAGGTGAACTTACCCTAAAAAGGTACATTCAAATAAACTGGCCCCGAGGGGTTCTCAAGTCAAAAGAAATCAACGACAGATATTCTATAATAGAGTCCTCCACTCCCTCTGCGCGCTTTGCGAGGTAACAACTGAGACTAGGAGTCACCATCACGGGCCGGAGAGAAAGAGGTACACCCCCTTGGTTCAATCTTGGTACTTCACAACGCAAGCAGAGACAAGGCCATCTGGCACAGAAAAATCGAGAAAAAAGAGAGAAAAAAGAGAGAAAAGGAGAAAATAAATAAAAGGAAACAGCAGCAGTAAAAAATTAAGGAGAAATACATACATACTTCGTATAAGGAAAGGGACAATAAAATGAAAATGAAAACGAGCGAGGACAAAAAGGGACCAGTCCGAAAATAACAAGAAATAAGAGACACAGAAAAAGGCACACGGTGGAGACACCACTAACTAACGAACAAGCAAACACGCAAACATGGCCACCAACCAACCAACCAGCGATGCATTGTTGCAATTGTACGTCATCACTAGTGGGGGATTGGGGCAATGGTGCAGCGTTGGGGGGGGGGAATTGGGTAAATAAAAGAAATTCAATCCGGTACGTATCGCGCCACTCGGTGCGTCTCTTCTCGTTTGCTTCATTCCCTCGCCGTCTCGTCCGTCTCTTGCCCCCCTCCCGCCCCATTGGTTGTTGGCTTGTGGTTTCGTTTGATATGCTGTCTGGGAAATCGTAGACACACAGGTAGTTTTCTCTGACGCTATGAGTCCATTGTTAATCTGTCTCTGACTCTTTTCTATGATAGAGATGAACTCGTTGTGTCATATTAAGAAAAAAAAAAACGGTGGGTGGGCCAAGAAACGATGCTCTGTCTATCGAACTCGAAACTTTTCTGGCAATGCGTGGCGGAAGTGATCCACCCGCACACACGCACAGAAGAATGTTGGAAAAAAGGTGGTTCTACTCGCCGCCAGCCGGTCGGGTTCCGGTTACCCCAAGAAGACTTCTCTTGCCTAGCAAACAAGAAGAAGGCTGGAAAAAGGGGGGGGTAATGTGGAGAACACCTTCATAAAGGTTGAAACTCCCCGACGTCTGTCGAGGACGAAACCCTCTTTTCCACACGTTGGTTGTTATTGTTGTTGTACGTTGTTGTTACCTTTCAGATGATTGGTCTTCTACCTCTGCTCACTGCAAGGTAACTTTTAGCATTCGCGATACCAAATCACGCCGACGCCTCCGTGGTGGCGGGCCAACTATACCAACAACAATAGTAGTCGTTACCATAGCAAAGAGCAAGCCTTTTCTACGAGATCTACGAGATCTACGAGATCTACTGTACACTACGACATCTCCGGAGAGAGCAGCTTTGCTCGCTCTTTCCGCTCCTTGAACGCTAACTCGTTCGCTTGCGCTGCTCTTTCTCGCCATGTTCATGACGAAAAGGCGTAGTGGCAAGCCGGGGGAGTCATGTTGCATGATATTGTTCTCATATCTCATTCTGCAAACCTTGGGGGTGAGAGCAGAAGAAGACCCATGGCTTGGCGTGCGGATGCTGGAGATCCCGTTCGCAATATCCAATGTTGCGGGCAAGCGGCCAACCAACATAGGTGCACGCAACTTGGGGCATCGAGGACGCGGCAGCCGCCAGCTGATGGTATTTGGACACGAACCCCCTGAACAAAACACCGCAGCAGGATGGGGACTGGATAAGTCCTGTTGCCGTCGTCACCAACCGCTTAACGGCACGCGAGGAACCTGTTGAACGGTACATACAGCAGCAGTAGGGATCAATACGAACCGCTCATACCAGATATTACACAGCCATTTTGTTTCACCGCAAGCATTCGCCGCCCAACGCCCATTGTCTCTTCTTCATAAGAATCTTCGGTGAGGTTCGATGCTCTTTTGGATAACGCAGCAACCGTGGCGAGCCGAATTCTTCAGGCTGCAACTACCAACACGTCGTCGCTCCGCGCAAGCCCTGAAGGGGAGTGGGGCGACTGGGGACCCGAGGGGGACCGAGCAATAGCTATCGCGGTAGAAAAAGCTTTGAGCGGCGCTGGAGGTTATGTTCATGACCTAATGGAGGAGGAGCTCGTGACCGCGTCAGCGAGAGGTGTGTGTGTGTGTGTGTGTGTGTGTGTGTGGGTGAAGCATCACAGCATGCATAGTTCCCGGTAGTATATGCAAGGCGCATGCATGCACATCCCGACGTCCTACTCATGATTCACCGCAAGCTCCCCTACCCACGGCCTCAAGTCGCAAGAGGTCTCGAGACAACATGGACCACAACGACTTCCAAACCCCCATTTGTTCTTGGTTATCGTGCTGCCGCTGTCGGTGTCGTGCTCGTCTCGTTCCTGCCTCATTTGAACAAAGCAGAGGCCAGCGGCGACTGGCTGGAGGCTGCGGATGCGACGTGCGCAACGCTAGTCCCGCGGCGACGACTCGAGATTCTCGACATGTATCGCTTAGGCAGGTTGGATATCCAGGGCGTTGATTGCTCGCAGCCATCCGAGCTCTACTCTCCTGGGACGATATTGTGAGTTTCGTTAGGAACGGGAACAATATATTAACTTTATTTTGACACCTGCTGCTGACTGTGTGCAGTTTATTCCAAACTTGATCATGCAGTATAGGACGGTTAGTCCTCGGGAGGCATGGACAACGTGTGAGTCTTGTTGCTGGCCAACATGATCTTCTAAACCCTAACGTCGTTATTTGCGGGCGGCGATGTGTTGCATATCCTGTTTCTCGTCGGCCTGCTGAGGCTACACGCTCCTGAACGTTTCCGGATAGCTGCTGGAGAAGACTGGTAACCGAAGGAAACATCACCAGTAGATATGATCCACATTGGCAAGAACTAAACTTCCTGGACTGGCAAAAGTACCTTGTAGTAGTTCCCATCTGCGATTCGTCACTTATTTCACACCGTGAAATACATTACAGATGCAATCCGTCTGCCCCTGCCGCGGCCGCGTCCCGAGCTGACCTGAAAGGGACATGGCTGGCGGACTCAACCGCGAGCTTGATGGCCTGCAGAGCATTTTTTGACGTTTCGGAGATGGAGTACGCTAAGGTGCGCTTCAGTTCTGGTTAACTCACTTTTCTACGCCCTCCAGTTGCTTCGTGTAACGGTGATGTACGCAGCAGGAAGTTGGCTGGCCCGAGTAGGAGAGGGAGGCGGAAGAAGGGGAGGAAGTGGATGAGAAGGAGGAGGAGGAGGAGGAGGAGGACGAGGAGGAGAAGGAGAAACAAGTGCCCAAGCTTATGGTTTTGCCTTTGTGTTTGGGAAACAAACCGCGCTGTTGCTGAGGGCATCAACGGGTAGAACATGCACAGGGCATAGGGGGCGGCACGGGGTCTGTTGGGTTTTCCCTGCTAACTGTAGTACCGCCATTTGATTCTACTAGATTGGACACTTCGTTGTCCGGTTCCATTCTCCGTCTGCCTCTGAAGTTTGCGCTGCCCTTTTTTCTCGAAGGCGGCGTGCCTGCGTGCCGTGCGTCTGGGCGGAACATCGGCTGATGAAGCTGCCGAGGCTGACATGCGCCTGGCCGCGATAGCAGAACGGTACGGCCATCCGTCAGCCGCAGTCCGCATGTACTTCCACATGATGGCGAACCCCGCCACAAACGACCACGGGCGGTGAGCAATGAAAAATGGGGTTGGATTGAATCCAGCGAATGCGTTCGTGGGCGAGGAATACGTCCAAAATTTCACAACAATCATTCTTTTGCCGGCAACCGGAGGTTTGGCGCAGGGAGCGTGTGGTGATGTGTACGCGGCTTGCAGATAACTCTTCCTCCCCCCCTGCAGTGCTTGCTAGTCAGAGGACACGTTCTGCAGAACCATAACGTCAGCCGTAGTATCAGACCAACGTTCCCGGAATCGAGTTTGGAAGCACTATCATGCGGGATGAGCCTTTAAATGTAACGATATTCTCTGGTAGTTTCCACCACCAAAATAACCGATGTGTGACAGTTCGTCGTGAAAACAACCTTCATTGATCTTATAGTCTATTGCTTGGTGCCGAAGAGGAGTGGGTGTATGCGGAACTCTGCAGCCTTGATGGGAACCTCGACAGATTGAGACCAAAAAGACAAACCCCTGCTGGTTCACCGTCAGTTCATTTCTGTGAAGCGTCCATCTGCGGTATTTACGTCTTTCGTCTTTCGTATTTCGTATCATGATTCCCCACCCAGGCTGGTCGTGTCGATCCTCGGGTTGACGATGGTCCCACCCACGCTCATTGGATCACGGCGAACGATCGCCGAGTTTCGCTCAGGCTGGGTGCGCGACTTGCAAACCCTGCGGAGGAACCTCGCCACCGGAGTAACCCCGGGTGAGCTCTGGGACCCTGCAGCCGAGGTGGGAAGGACACCGTTCAATCTGGCGCATCAAGGCGGTCCCGATCTTGACATGATGACTTCCCTCGCTGGGGTTTACGACGCCGCGGCTCCATCTCTCCGGTATGTCGCTCCACATTGCCGTAGAGACATGGGCGACGATAAAGCTGCGACGACAACTCAAGGGCACTCGGAGAGGCCGGTTCGCATAGGTATGGTAGGCTGTAGAGGCTACTTGTTGTTCCGTCATAGAGACTTGGTTGATATGTTCTGGTTGGTCTTCGACAAAGAGCAACTTTCTTTGTCTTGCCGGTCTTCGAGAAAGAGAATCGTTGAAGATTATTAGTCTTTCGGCGGCACTCCGGTCCAGCTGTCGATAGGTATAGGTTTCAGTAGCAGCGTTCCTTCCTGCGAGCAGCTAGACGACCTTGCAAAAGGACGGCGAAGCAAATCATTTGGGGAGCTGCCCTCAGCACGACAAATAATCCTTCACGGCACTGTCAAAACTTTCGATGCATACATTCACCACTACTGAAGCAATGGGACAAAACACAGTTCAGTTTCAACAACGTCAAACCAACCTTGTTGCTGTCAACTTTTTTTTCTTGCGTGCCGTCTACCACACGCGACGAAAAAGGGTTTTTCTCGATACACCTGAGAGACCACTCCGTCGGCAAGATGATGGGTCTTCTCATCATGCTGTTGGCGGAAAATCCAAGTCTGGAGGTCCATGTCTTCGCGCCGGGTGGTGGTTGTGATGGAGACGGGGGCAACAGCCAGGCAGGAGACAAGGAAGGGGGAGGGGGGGGAGGTGATCCGGTCGTCAACGGCCTGCGGTCGGCGGTGCATCACTGGCATCAGGTTGGACACATGGATCCTAAACGCTGATAGTGCGAACAACCGTGAAAAAGGACGAAAAATGGTTGAGCCCTTGTGGAACTAGAGAACGAGAAACAAAAGCGACATCCGGTAGTTTGTCAACAATGAAGGAGAGGAGCGCCGAAGAAAAAGCGAAGCAAGTGTATGTATCACTTGCAAATATGAAGGGGTTGTTCATGCGTGTGCACATGGTCCGATGGACCCAAACGTTCAAACGGAGTTGTGAGCCAAGGCTTCAAGCAAGGAGGCAAGTAGGTGAAACGAGACATGGCATGATGTACCCTTGTTACAAGGTAACAGAGAGTATCACGCGCACGACGAGAGTTTGTCTCGGAGCACTATCCAATACCTCAATGAGAGAATGACTACCCACACAAGCGGGATGCTCTTTGTTCTTGAGAAGCGTAATAAGCACATTCTTCGATACCCAACTTCAAATATAACTTCTCGGTTTCCAACTGCTGTTGCACCCATGGGGCGTGCCGTGGACCTGGACAAAAGGCACCTCGAGACCTGCATTCGGCAAGAAGGGTGGTGTCACAGGAGAAACTAGACGTCCTGGTGTATCCAGACCTCGGCATGGAACCGCTCACGTACTTCTTGTCATTCGCAAGACTAGCCCCGGTGCAGGTGTGTTCGCGCACACCAGACTGTCTCTCAGCTGGTGCGGCACAACGAACGACGTACAGGCGGACAGCGTAGGGTTTAACCAATGAAGGTGTTCGCGCGCTCTGCAGCGCCCCGGCTGATCTCAAGCACCGATGGACACGTAATTGCCAGTAGCTGGTAGAGCACTGTCGAATTCGGAATATGGGCGTCATGGCGACTCTACCTGGCAACACAACCACGGCCTCCAATGTTTCAATACACTGCCTTCCCTCTCGCTTGGTGACTAAACGCTTGGTTCTACTCTTTGGATTGTGTGGCATAGAGAATGAAGTGGTTTCGTTGAGCGATGTACAACATCCAATAAGACATAATCGTGTATGAGCGGACAGTTGTCGCACGCCAGCACCAATGCATTTCAAATTCATCCTGAGATAATTCCATGCGTCTAAGCAAACTTTTCTGAAACGTGTTAAACGGAACACAGTGCGTCTGGTGGGGCCACCCGGTAACGCCTAGCACCGGCTCCGTCGACTACTTCTTGTCTTTGGATGTGGAACTGGACGGGGGCCAAGATGATTACCTCGAACAGATGGTCCGTATGGACGTGGTCAACACGGCGCACTTTAAGCAGGTATCCCGGTCCCATCGTTGCCCCACCGCGCGTTGAACCTCGCTCTTCGGTCGATGTTGTCCTTGGTTAGTACGACTCTTCGGCAGTCCACATATCGCGTCCTAGCTTGTGGACCGCCGAGTCTCGCTATTGGTCAATGGAAGAATGACGCCTAGGCTGCTATCTAGCTGTGTCTTCTCGCCCACTGTGCTCCCAAGTCAAAATCACACACGGAATAGTGTCCGGACATTGTGAATTCATTTAGTCATTGAGTACTGAGGATGGGCGAAAACAAGGCGTGCAGCAATAAGTCATAGTCTACGTGATCATTTATCTCAAGACCGTAGCCCGCCCTTCATCATCGTTTCTCCCAGATGGCCGCATGGGTTTCAGATTTGGGGTTACCGAGTGGGCCACCCGGCCGAAGGGACATCAACAGTGACAAGGGACCCCAGTCACCGTTGTCCTTCACAAATGGTGGCGAAGAAAGCCTGGGCACATCCATTTCCAGTACGATTAAGTCGTTCTCCAATGCCGACATGGCGGATATACTTCAGATATCTCTTCCCTACGCAGATCTGGCGGCAGCGGAGGCGGGGCCGACTACACCCGCCGCTGCCACCACCACCGGCGTAGCAGCAAGGACGTATGACGAGCATGACGTCACCATCGGCGACCAAGAAGCTGGGCCATCATGCCGTCAAAAGTACCTGGTAATGGGGCGCCTATTCAAGCTGCACCCTGATTTCGACGTCGCCATCAAGGGCATTCTCGAAGGGGGCAAGGATGGATGTGTCATCTTGATCCACGAGACAAAAGACGAGGAATGGACTAGAGTAGTTTGGAGTAGGCTACGGGACGTGCTTGCCCCCCGAGGTACGACCTCTCCGACATGTATGTGTGATGGTGAGAGTGTTCTTTGTCAGAGCCCGAGAAATACGTCGAATATATCAGCGAAGACGTTCGTAGATCAGTTTCGTTGCAAATGGGAGAAAACGCATAACCTCGATCATGAAGGTTCACGTCCTGCTGGACACACGTACAGAGAAAAACACAAGGATCGTGTTACAACCCTTCCTGGTTCGCCCACTCTGTGTTGATTGCGCTGTAGGTTTGTTCGGCCGTCTACGAATCATGCACCACTGGCTCTACCCGCAGGCTCTTCGCCGCGCCACCGCCGTTCTCGATACCTTCCCTTACGGTGGTTGTTTGACTGTCCTGGAGGTGAGCGGTGATCGATGTTGCACGCAAGGGTCGCTGCGCTGGCCTAGGAGCCAATCTTATGGCGGTCCAGAGTCATGCCCCTCGAAAATATCCATTGTACTTTATAAAGACAGGAGCCCGTCGGATCCACCGGTTCGCCCACCATATAACTATTCAACAGAGTTGTTGCGCTCGTGAGGACTATTCCGCGGGCTTAACGTTTGAAGACATGTCTAAGCTGTCGCTTGTGCCGAGGCGTCTTCGCCTCGTCGATCAGCCCATCCTGTCACGCAAGAATGGTATCTGCTTACGCAAGCTGACCTCCCTTCTGTCGACAACCAAGTCGTGGGGAACAGTCTCCACAACCCTCCTTTTCGGTGATGTATTACGTAGCAATTTTCGACGGGTCTTGGTTGTCCATTACCCTGGTCTTTCTGGGGAACATCGTCACGCCGCGGTGCAGGGGCTGTCGAACGGAGTGCCAGTCGTGACGCTCCCGGCGAAGTATGTGAGGGGAAGATTCGCCTTAGCCATCTATCAACAAATGGGGTACACAGAGCTTGTGGCGGATGATGTCCAGGTGGGTGTCGGTGCGTTGGACCATCCTCCCGCCAGCTGAAAGCAGCCGCGTGGGGGCTTTGGTTTTGCATCCAGCCATGTCGTCAGCCGAGGGAGAGGACTGAGCATCCCCGAGTCCGACAAGAAAGCTCTGATGCTATTCGTCTTATTTTCTTGCGTACATCTTGCAGTCAGTCACCCCTATCATGGGTAGCGATGTATAGAACCACGATCATTCGAAAATACTACTACGAGCTACCATTATGTTTCAGGACGGAAACGTTGGTAACCTCCCTGTACAATATGAGGACTTGGCAGCAGTACTGATAAGAGAAGACCACGACCAGGCCAGTACACAGTCGTCTTACGCTTAACGTGTGGCGTGCACTACATAACAGTTGCTCATCGAATACTGCTGTGTCAGGTGACTGAATTTGCGATGATATAAATCACGCCTTCCGACGAGTGTCTTCAACTACCTTATGTCGATGATATACGGAGCCCATGGGCTCTGCCAATGCTGTCATGGAATCGTGTGTGGCGTGGCTGGGAGTTAGGACCATGCGATAACCATTACCTGTCCTGTACGGTCAATAGAGGAGTCAGTACGTTGTGTATGGGTCACACATTGTCGCCGCTGCACAAAACAGTATAGACTACATACACGTACGGATTGTTTCCAAATGCGAAATGACAAAGGTCACCGGGTAGTGCGGTCGATGCGAATAATAAAGACACCTGTTGACTTGCCAACACCTGCACTGCGTGGAGGGATACAGGGCGGCGACTCCATGGCATGCCACAACACCAGCTTTTGCAAATGATCAATCAATGATATCTGTCAGGACGCCTGTAGACCCAAAAGGGTTAACACAACGAGGTCTTTTCCGAACGAAGCGGTCGGTCCGTACGGATCTTCAAATAGTATCCCCCCAAATCTCATCGGGTTTTTCGGAACTGTTCATTATCGGACGCCAGGAATACGTCTCGCTGGCGGTTCAGCTCGGCAAAGACCAAGACCTCCGGAAAAAAGTGGTGGCCAAAGTGGAAGGGGCATATCGAGAGTCCTTGCATCAGCACCACCAAAGTGCCCAAGAATGGGCGGCGTTTATCGTCCGTGCTCATCGGGGCGCGGAGTCCAACCGATGATGGCAAAGTGTCGACAGATTCTACCTCTCTGCCGTCAGCGACGCCATCATTGTAAAACTTGGCAAAGGAGCAAGGGGTGGGTGCGTATGTATGAAGCTTCCTCGCGTATGGGGAGCAGCGCTTGAACCCTCGGAGTCATGTGCAGCCGGCCTGGGATGTCGTAACCTTGAAGAAAATCATTCTTATTTGTTGCCGTAACTTTTCTGTCACATCACATCACATCACAGATTCATTTGGGCAGTTTCGGACAGTGGGATCAACCCCCCCCAAATTTGAAATTGGGCAATAGTTGAGTGTCGGACAGACAACGGCTCGTTTCGGATAGCAATGCCTCCCGAGTACCTTGTTGCCTCTGCCTTACCAGCGCTTGTACCAGCAATGAGATGTAACTACGGTCGCCTATACGCAGGATACTTGCGATCCGCGGCCATACGGAATACTTGTCCTTTTCTGCGGTCCATGCCTTTTGTTTGATCTGGACAAAGGTACGTCGATCTCTCCATCTCATCCAACAGTTGTTCGATCTTCGTGCTTGCCACCGAGTGTTTACGAGTAAGACTTTCCTCAAAAACAGGGCCAAGCCGAACCCAATGAAATCGACCTTCCAAACTTTCCGAGGATACTTCTAGACCACAGGGCGGCCCTGTAGGGCTGAAGAAAGCGAGACGAAAAGAGAGAGAACCTGAAAATAACATTACGTTGTGCTAGCAGTCAGGAACAACGTGGAGCACATGTCGTCGATATCCTGGTGTCGCGTACTCTCTATCGCGCGCAACAACATTTGACCGACCACCGATGAAATAGCCATGGGGTAGATCAGCGCTTTGTTCCCAAGTACGAAAACTACATGAATCGACTGCACGGGCATGGACATGGACGTCCATATTCGCTAAGAGATACTTGAGTATGTCTGAGGGAGCTCGCCCACCGTCGATGCTATTGTTATACAGCTGCACTCCCCCAACATTTACGTCCAGTTGATTTCATCACGCGGAACATTCAGAGAACCACTAGGGGGGCGAGCCTGGTGTCGGTATGAGACAAGTTACATAGGCATACCTCCGATGTCCGGTACCCTTGCACGAGACATTCTTCGGTACTCCTCCAAATCCCGCTTCATGCACGACTTTCACCGTACGTCAGCCCCAACATAGACAAACGCCGGCACGACTGTCGCCCGTCTAAAAGTGGATCACTCGCGAAGGCACAGCCAGACCATGTTGGGCACGCTCGCGTGTGCGGCACCGCACCGAAGGGCAAAAAACAACGCCTTCTCGTCCTGCTTGTACCGTGAGCACTACATCGCCTACAAGCTACGAGTGCGTACCGATGAAACAAACAGCGATTAAACTGCGGCGAGGCAGCAAACTCAACCCCAGAGGCTGTGCTTCTTCCGTTGGAGGATGGGATGGGCTTCGTCTTCCTCCGAATCCTCTCGGCCCTCGGCGGATACGGTCATGGAGACCCCAGTCCCCAAGCCCCGACTCCCTCCATTTCGGAACCCTACTGCGGCAGTAGTGGTCGCTTTGGTCGAGGAGCGCTTCTTACGCTTGAGGTGCCGCTTCTTCTTCTTCTTCTTGCTGCTGCTGCTCCGCGCATCGGGGTCTTCGGCACTGCTGTTTCCACTGCTGGTGCTGGTGCTGCTGCTATCGTGACGGCTGCCGCCACCGCCGCCGCTCTCTCGTCTGTCGCGCTTCCTGTGGCGACCGGAACTGCTCCGCTTGCTCTTGGACGACGACTTCTTGTCCTTCTTGCGCGACTTTTTCTTTCGACTGCCCTCCTCGCCGTCGCCGTCACCATCTCCGCGGCCTTCTCCCCGCGCACCACGACGCTTGCGCTTCTTCTCGTCCTCCTCGAGCAACGCGCGCATCTTGCGGAGCGCGTCTCCTTCCGCGCCATCGTGAAGGAGGGCACCCGGCGCGGCCTTTGATGCTTCATCGCGCTCGGTGCTGCCAGCGGATCCCATCATCGACGCGGGCATCACCGCACCGCCCGGGGCAGATACGCCATTGAGACCCTTCCTGCCGTTGACGCTCGAATCTGTTCGGTTTTCGAACGTGGTTATGTTGCCCAGAGTCACGGACGCTCCCAGTGTCTCTCTTGCTTCCTGCCGCTCCATTCGTCTGCTTTCGCGGAGGAGGTAGAAGCAACACGAGAGACATTCAGTTAATGGGAGAGGAACGCGTTCGAGAGCATAGCAGTACTTTAGCCTAACGCCTGGAGCTCATCCGGGATAACACCACCTCCAAAAGAAGCATATGATACACACCGTTGCCTGGGGAGCGAACAATAAGGTAAACTCAACGCAGGGAACACGAAACGGAATGTGACCCATGGCCGCATTCAATGGGACATAGCATCGGAACCCCTGCGAAGTCGACACGGAGGACGTCGAGCACAGGATCAAGCGTCATCGTAACTTGTTGGAGTCGCACGTTGGGCAAGGCAAAATCCTTGGTACCGCTGATGAGATGATCTCGTCAACTAGTATTACCAAAAGATGATCTGATAAGACTGGGAGGGCTACGACACGCTGGGGAACCCAGACATGAGTGTGGGCAGGTCCAGAACGAGACTATTGAAGTTTGGCAACAGCAAGCTCTCGTTTCGTGTAGCCAGCCAAATTCGAAACTAGTCGATCGAGCACAACAGAAACTGACATATCTATCAGTACATGCTTGAAAAGAACACGCATACGCGTGCTTCCAAATAACGGAACCTGCAAAGCTACCGGCAAGCATGAAATATGCACTACAGCAATTGCGATCCTATCAACAATCTGACCGTAGGAGTCGTTGCCAAGCACAGCGATATGCAAGGCTGCACGGTCACTACAGAGGCAAAGAGGTTGAGGGGCACCCGCACCTTCTCGTCTCTTTCAGGTAGCTGGAGGCGTTCCCATTTTGGGGGTTAACGCTCAGCGCTCGCGACAGGTCCTGCACCGCTTGCCGCAGCCGGCCAGTGGAGGCGAAGGCGGCCCCACGGGCAACTAGTCCGTCATCGTGATCTGGACACATACCCAACGCCTGCGTGTATGTGTCGATAGCCGCCTGGGCACAACAGAGTTCATACGCGAGGAATCCGTAATGTTCGGAGGGGTTTGTCAAGGATCTGATGAGCGTTGCGTATGAGCCATTGCTAGTGCGTTCACAGACTGATCCCATGCAATCGTGAGTTCTTTGGTCCATAACAATACCCCCGAGGAAAACAAGGCAGCACCACTTTTCCAGCTGCAACTTGCTTCGTCTCCAACGCACTCTCTCACCCCTATAAGGACACACTCACATACACCCATAGCACAAAGGCTACCGTAACATAAAAACAAAGTGAAAATGAAACGGTGCACCGGGCCGGGAAAAACCTCACCTGATGCTGACCTTTTCTCGCCAGCTCCACCCCCTTTCGAACTCTTGTGTCAGCCCATAGCCGGTTTTGTCGATCTCGAACTGTGTCGTAAAACCAGTTCTTATCCTCACCACCGCCAGTGCCAGCAGTAACATCGGCTTCCCCGCCCTCTGCGGTCGCACCTTTTGCTCCTGCTACAGCAACCCCCGCCGCGCCTCCCCACGGGCGATCGTCCGCCCCAACATCCAGCACAAACGAAGCCGGTCGTAGTATGCCGAAGGCGTCGGCCATGGTTTCCGAGGCGTGTGGGTTGTGGAAAGACTTATCGGCCAACAGAGTTTCGTTGTAAGAAGGCGGTCGCGGTGCTCTTCTACGGGCAGACGACGACGACGACGACGACGACAAAGTCGCCACCCCGCCTGCTTGTGGCCGCCTGCGCTTGCGTCCACCCCTCTGCAGGGAGCTCCCGCTTGGCGACAACCCGCTGCTGCTTTGAGCCGCTCCACTGCTAGGACTTGTTGGATCGCAGAAGCTGCTGCGGATGGTGGTGTTTGTGGGCGGTCCACGTAGACTTGATTCTTCGTCGTCGGGATCTGAGCGGTCATTCGCGCCCAAGGGGCTGCTTTCCTCGCTGTCGTCCTCGTCTCGCTGCTGCGCCTCGGCCGCTTGCTCCACAAAGTCTTCGATTGCGGGCATCCAGGAGAATCCCCACGTGTCGGCATGTTCGTTGACGGAGGCGCCGGCGTCCTCCTCGTCGCCGTTCGGGGGATCGGCGAGCCTTCCACTCGCCTTCAACGTTTTTGTTCAGCAAGGAAGAGACAGAGAGACAGAGAGGCAGAGAGAAATTTGAATGCAAAAACACTGGACAAATCTTACAACGTAACCCCCAACACGGCAGGCGGAGCCGTTTATCCTGTGGACTGCTGCTGCCTTACCGGTGGGTAAACACACAAAGCACACCAAGAGAGTGTGCTCTGTAGGGTCTGCAAGTTTCTGGAGGGTATCGCAAGTTGACACAGCTTCTCACACCCTTTCCGACTATGCAGGCCACACACAGAGGCACCAGATATGGACACAAGAGCAGTGTGGAAACCACGTAACCAGGAGGTCACCGACAAGGTTGACGCACGCAAAAACGGAAAGGAACTTGCCACCAGCATCGGCGCCGTCACAAGGTTGTGCGGTGCAAACTACATACCAGTGCTCGAACGCCTGTCCTGGGGGCAGAATGGCCAGCTGCCTGCGCTGGGAAAGCGACCAACACGTTTAGAGCATCACAACAACAACTATCCAACTATCCGCCGCGTAAAGGGTGCTGAAGCTGGTGCTTTGCCAACAGCAGCGACGACAGAGGTACCCGTTGACATCAGAGGGTGGATTAGTCCGTGCGGTGTGCCCTCTCTGGTGGGACGGGAACACCCAGCGACGAGGGCTCTCACCTGATTTCCTAGTTTCTCTTCGCGCTCTCGCGCTTTTCGCTTCAGACGAATAATCTCGTCATCGAGAGGCATGGACCTCATCATGCCATGCACTCTTCGCTGTCCGCTACCGCTCTTCGATTGCTGTGTGTTGGTCATCATCTCAGCCTAGCTCTGTCTCGCGGGGGCACGGACACCGGAATTTGTTCGGGGAGAGTAGGGTGGGGTATGAGGGGGTCCGCGAAATACTTCGATGAAAAAAAATAAATGATGGCATGGAGCACAGCACAGGGCGGACGACCACAAACGAGCCCGACAGACCGAGGCAACGACGGATATCACGCTAATCCTCACGGATTACCGCAGCATATATACGCTCAAGCACCATGGGGGAAGAACCGGGCCACATCCGTGAGTATCTTGAATTTTTGAAGAATATCTCGGAATGCCCGCGCTGCTGGCCTCGGCTCGCCGGCGGTGCTCGCCGTGGGCATGTGTGTGTGCGATGCCAAGCGATGGCCACTGCTTACAGCAGTACCTTCCGCGCAGCGATCTTACCTGTATCTGGTTCTGCGAACACAACCCGACTCATATGAACCGCGTGCCTCATGCGCAACAGCACTCCCGTCACCTGACACTCAGGATCTCTTGTCTCCCAACAATCTCGGCCTGATCGTTGTCCTACCTTCCTTCGCGCTCGGTCTCTTGCCCTCTTTCGTGGTCAAGACATTGGGAATCTTCACCCGAGGGTGTCCGTGGCCGATCTTGAGCCCAAGCTGATCAAGTATGGCACCATCACTAACCTCTGGGTCGCCAAAAACCCTCCAGGTACGGATGGGTGCATTTTCCGAGTATGTTCATGGCTCCACCGTGAGAGATGTCTGTGAGTAAGACGCGAAAAACGGGTTACCATTTCAGTCTTGGGCCGCAAAGTCCACTCTTGTGTTCCAATTATTTAGTCACCCACTGGTCCTTCGCGTCTCTTGTACAAGGCTGCCGTTGTGTGCAGTGCGTAAAGGGGGTGTATAATACCACTCCTCTCGCACTTTTTATCGAAATAATCGTTGATACGGTAATGATCAGTGTATGCGTGGCATCGCTTGTCGAGAATTTCAGCGCTATGCAAGTAATTACTCCAGCACGTACGGCTGTTTGCCGAAATTTTGGCCAACATGTCCGTTGTTCTCCTCCTCGACTGTTTCTGTTCGTGTGAGAGGACACGACAGCACCGGCAGATCCGTGGCACGGTAGCCTCACCTTCCCCTCCCTCTGTTGGTGTTCGCGCACCATGCAGTGTGGACCATGTTCGGAAGAGAGTGCCCGCCTTCTGTGTTCGTGAACCTGAGGAACAGTTGGGTCATTGCTGGCACAACTGCTGCGCGAGTGGTGATCGGCGAACGGATATGCCGGAGACTTGACGACACGCCCACGAACACGACATTGCATCATTCGTTCTTCAACTAGTTGTTTGGTGCGCCAACCGCACAGGCGCTCGCGAATGCGTGCATTTTGTGAACCCATGAGCATGCGACCACGCATTTAATCCACCACGAAGTACCACGCGAAAGTAGCCGTGTAGCCGTGTGGACTGGCCCAACGATACTGTGTTGTCTGCGCACAAAACTTGATATTTTGGAGGGAAGTACAACAGCAGCATGATGACGCGACAAGGCAGTAGGGTAAGCATGCAACCGGCGGGATTGCCCGTGACGCGGTCTATCGCCGCTCCCCCCCTCCCTCTTTCACGGTGGTACGACTATTGCTTGTAGATTTTTCTCTTCGCTCCGACTTGAATACCAGCTAGCAGACGCCTTGGCGCTCTGCTGTTTGTGACTTGCCCCTCGCCCCCTCAACTGCCGTTCCCACGTCAACAGTAGTAAGCGGATGGTTGCTGTTTTGTACTTTGGCAGCTACAACGACCTCACGACCGATGATGCCTTCACCACCCCGTTCGATCCGACTGTCGTGGATAGGCTCTCTCAGTTGTTGTTGAAATGTCACCATCAACCGCTTCGACCGCTTTTGGCAAGATCCACTCCTCCCAGCGTCCTCTGCGTACCTCCGTTTCGTCCTGCATCATGGTCTACACCGCCTCTCGTCGTCCTCGCGAGTAATCTTGTACGCCCGCGAGCAGCAAGCATCGGCTGCCGCACAGCAGCAGCAACTGTAAACAAGTACACCAACCAGCGCGGCGTGTTTGTGTTTCCTACCTCCTTCGACGCGACCACTACCTGTACAGCTGTACGCCCGCATCCGCGAGAACAGCAGTACTGCGCTCAGCAGCAGCAGCAGCAGCAGCAGCAGCTCCGCATCAACACCAACAACCTTTAACGTCAACAGCAGCAGCACCACCTTCAACAACGTTCACACCGCAACGCCGAGATCGCCCTCCTGAAAACACGCCAATTTCGCCGTCAACGGCGAGAAAGCGTCACCTCCTGTCATCTTCGTCCGACGTCACCTTTTCTGAACGTTCGGTACTTCTCCGCCGTATATTCAATGTTTTTTCGTTATTCCTTTGTTCAATTGTTTGTGCTTGGGGAGCATAGCACGTGGTGGTGCGCCCCCCGACGGAGTACCAGCCGCGTCACCGCCAGCCATGTTTTTTTTTTAATCTTTTGGGCCCCGAGTGCGAAATTCCCGCAGTTCCACAGGGGGTACCTAACCTATTTCCTCCTTTTGTTTGTCCTCGCTTCGATTCCGTTGTTCTGGCTCGATGTATGCCAGTCTCCGCCACCAATGCACAAGATGCACCTAGTTTATGTACTCTTGATGCGTGGCCTTCCTCTGTCTTGGCCTTTATTTTGACGGTGTTGGCTGCTTGTTCGCGAACCTGCTCTGCGTTTGAACGTCGTCGTTTGCTCGGCTGCGCTTTTTGGACCCGTCCCGTGTTTCAGGCTTCGCGTTCTGTGACTTCCAGAACAGGGCCATGGCCGACGACTGCGTGCGCGGCATGGACGGGCTGAAGATGGAGAATTTGGCCATCACGGTGGAAATTGCCCGCAGGTGTGTGTGCGTGCTTGGCGTGCTTCCCACTCTGCTCACGGCCGGGCGTCAGCAACTGCTGTCGGGGTGCACGGGCGCACGCTTGGTGTTGCGTCGGGCTGGGTGTGGTAGCAAGAAGTAGCGAGCCGATCACGCCATTGGACCAGTCGACACCGACTCTGCGCGATGGCGCTGTGACTGGTCTGCTGGTTTGATTCCGGCCGCTATAAACGAGTCATGGGTTCGAATACCCGGCCGAACACTGTTGAGTGTTAACTTTTCCTGAGAGTCGTGGATAACCTTGGATAGAGTATAGGCGACTGAAATACTCGACGCCCGAGACCCTGGACATTCCGAATATATCGTGGGTGGTGGGTTGGCAAGAACTTCATTTGAAATGCACACAAAATGGACAGCTGTAGTGCTGGCGAGGGTAGCGACACACCTTGGAATGAAAAGCGTGGCGACATTAGCCCCACCACTTCCTTTTTGGCAACCAAAGTCAAACCATGAGACGGGTCAGCTTGACGATCTTCATCTCGTTCTGTGGGTAGGGTGCTCGAATGTACACTAAAATTGTGTTAACGCGCGAGCTGCCTAGATTATTATATTTCGCGCTTTTCAATCCCGGAAGTGTTGCGCGACGACGTGCATTGTCTAGATGCGTCAGGTTTGCTCGCTTCAGTGCGAATTTATGGCCACGGCACGCGTGTTATCCGATGGCAACCCTCCCGTTGCTCCCAGTCCAGTCGCCGGCCGCTTTTTGTCCGCGGACTTTGTGGCCCTCTCTTGTTGGTTGTCACTGAACTCCCTGGCTACGCCTGACGCGACAGGCCCAAGGCGAGGGCCCAAGGAAGAGGCAGGGGCGGCGGGGCACGCTTTGGCGGTGGTGGTGGGTACGGCGGTGGGTACGGTGGCGGCTACGGCGGGGGCTACGGTGGCGGCGGGTATGGCGACCGCGCCAGAGACTCCGGAAGAGACAGCCGTGACAGCTACAGGAGGAGGAGCCGCAGCCGCGACAGGTGCGCATGTTGAAGCGCGCAACGTTGGCGCAGTTTAATATTTTGTTTTGTTGGTGCTCCGTCGTGCGGGTACACACGGGTGGGTGCTCTCGCGTTTTTTCTTTTTTTCCAAGCGTGGGTCGTTGTGAGGAAGGACGTGAGTGCAAGTGGTGGTTTGCAATTGAGGCTACGAGATTCGTGGCTGTTCAACCCAGGGTGAAACGGTTGTGAGAGAGGCGGAAAACAGCTAATGAAAAGCCAGCGTGCGAGGACAACAGCACGCTACTCTCAACACCTTCAGTGCGCAAGGTCGTTACTGCCTGTCACTTCGCTAACGAACATTGGAAATGGCAGGAACGAACTTCTTGGGTGCCATGTCCTTTCGTGCGTCCCTTCTATTGCGTCGGATCTGCTTTCCAAACAAAAACTGCTGTACCTTCTACTACCATGTTCCCCGCGTTGTTTCACCCATGCACTACTGTACCTTCCGTATGTTGTGCAACCCCGCCGATTTCATCACCCCGCCGCCCCCTCCACTCATGACCACATGGATGGATGGTCACAGGGACGACCGCCGCCGCCGCGATAGCCGCTCGCGCTCCCCACGCCGGGACCGCGACCGCGGAGGGCGGGACTACGGCCGGGACTCCCGCGACTACGGCCGCAGCTCGAAGAGCGGCAGAGGCGACAGCCGAGACCGCCGCAGCCGCAGCAGGGACCGCAGCCGCAGCAGGGACCGCCGCCGCTCACGCTCCCCCCGTGATGACAGGGGAAGTGGCCGCGGCGGCGGGGGCGGCGGTCGCTCCCCCTCCGCCAGAAGGTCGCGCGAGCGTGGCAGCCGCAACGGCAGCAGCGCCCGTGCCGGCCGTGGAGGTTCGCGGAGCAGGAGCAGGAGCAGGAGCAGGAGCGGGAGCGCGAGCCGCAGCAGGAGCCGCAGCAGGAGCCGCGGCGGCAGCAGGAACCGCAGCGGCAGCAGGAGTCGGAGCGGTGGCCGCGGGGGCGGGCGCCGAAACCGGGGCAGAGACGACGACGAGGAGAACGGCGCCAGCAATGGCGGTTCTGGCGACGTAGCTGCGCGAGGCAAGAAGAGGAGCGGCTCCAGGGAGGATAGGTCCCAGTCTCCGAAGCGGAGCAAGGGAAAAACCGCCGGTGCCGAGGGAGACGAGGCGGTGGACGGGGCGGAGGACAGCGAAGAGAACGGTGACGCCACGGGCGGCGATGAGAGTGGGACGGCGGCCGAGGTTGAGAATGGCAACGGGAACGCCGATGGCGGCCACGACGAAGACGAGGAGGACGGCAGCGGTGGCGACGCGGAGGATCAAGAGGAGGAGGAAGAAGACGCTGTGGACGAGGAAAACGGTGACGATGATGAGCAAGCTCCGGACGCGGACGGGGGAGACGAGAGCGACAACTAAATAGTCATGAACCAGACGATCTAGCTTGTGAATCAAATGCATCGTAGTGGTGGTGCCGGCTTGGCGACAGATTCGAGGAAGTGGTAGCAGCGGGCATCTCTGAACACGTGCGGTTTATGAGACGCAGGATACTCTTTCCGGACTCTTTGTCAGTGGCACGTGTCAAGTGTGGGGGGGGGGGCTTGGGTTGGGTTCATTCGCTATGCCGTGCTTCGTGGGTAATCGCTGACGGTACCGATGAAGAGATATGTCGAGTAGGTGTCTCCTGCCGGCGGGGGAGCGCCAAGCATTGTTCTAGTTCTCTTCTTTTACACGGTTGGGAGGTTCTGAGTCCCACTCTAATCTTGCGCACGCTGTGGCGAACGCATGGTTTCGTATTGGTCGAACACGTTTCATGTGGTTATTTTTTTCGGAATTATCGCAGCGGAGTACACGGTTGAGTTGCTTGGGACGTTATGATGGTCCTGCACGCTAATCCGAAAGCTGTGCTGAGCGACATGTCAAGTTGTGTGCACGTTGACACAGCAGTAGTTTCGTCATCTCCACGCCTGTGTTCCTCCTGGCTTTGTCCGTAGTCTTGTTGTCACTAACTACACCGTGGGACTCGTTCATTGCTGCTGCATGCATACGTACAGGCAATTTTTGGGTCCCACGCTGCCAAGTTCCCTCAAATATTTCTAAACTCTGGAATTCTCGGAATGGTTTCTATGCTGCAACTTTTGTCGGAGCCAGCCACAATGGAGTTGCCGTACAAGTATAAGTATGCATATGCGTTTATCATTCTTTTTCTTGAGTCTCTTTCAGCCTGCAATACATTGTGTTTCCGTCCATGTGGTACTGACATGTGTGTAGTCGCGTGGCCCTCCTCCCCTCATACATCGTCTCAAAAGCATATCGTTTACTGCCGTGGCGTGAGATTCGGTTCCGGCGCGATATGAAGTTTGTTGGTCGTGTTGAGAGCAGGTTGGCCTTGCGCCGAGGGTCCTTCCTGTTTATAGCTAGCTGTTGTCTGTACTTGCTCGAGAATCTTGCCAATGAAAAGGCGTGAGTCTCAGTGCGGCTGAAAACAGAACATATTCGAAATTCCAAGAGCCGTGTGTCGGAAGTGGCCTTATTGTTGCATCGTGAGTGTGTCACTGCGTATTCTCAAGCTTGGTACAGTAGAGCTTGGGCTTGGGTCTCCGTCGATCTAAAGTATTTTTTTGTTCGGAATTTTTATTGTCTATGATGCCCACCCCTTGCCCGACCTTTCTCAGAAGCCGATCTCAGCCCACACCGCGAACCTCCGACAATTACCAGCAGTTTGTAATTCTGTGTAGCTGAGACGATTTCAAGACTTTCCACTGTTGTTTGCGCAGCTATCGTGTACGTCTACCAACTACGCGAACAAAAAAAATTCCTTGTTGCTGTACGTTGTACTGCTGGAGACTGTTCGATACTCCCTTCTGTGAGCCGAGTATCTTGCTGAATGGTTGAACAGCGGGAAGCAAGATGACAATGGAGATGATGCTTTGTTCTTTCAGCGCCACATACCCACCTGCTGCGGAGATACACTACGCCACGACAAGAGGATGCACAAACGAAACAATTCATTTTCGGAAAGCTCTCGACGAGACAGCTTGAATGCCACACCGTTTCCGGCCCTGTGACTATTCTGCTGTTTCAAAGAGAAATCGAAATTTGAAAATCTGCCCGGGGGGTGTGTTATCTTGTGCCATTTACGGTATGGGAGGCCTTCGGTCCTCCTTTCTCTCTCCCCTCCGGTGGCACGCCTTCTCTTCTGAGACCGTTTCTCCTTGCCAAATCTCAAGAAAGAAAACTGCCAGGCCCCGGTTGTCGTGGGTATGGACTTGACCTGGGTCTCCTTCCACCGGGGGAGCCTGTGTGCTTGCGCACTACTGCTGTGTACATAGACTAGTCTAGACAACAGGCTACGAACGGCAGCTGGTTTCTATTGTTTTTTGTCTCCACTTCAATTCAAGTCAGCACTGACAGTACTGCTGTAGCGCCGTTTTACTCCAAGCGGTGGTCACACAGAATGGCCCCTCTCTATCCTCCCCTCCTGCGGTACGTTGCCTTCGATTTTTAATGCGAGAAGTGTTCAGCACTCTCTTCCCTCTGTTAACACACGAAGTCTAGACTACATATCGTAGGGCGAGTTGCATGCCTCTCTACTGCTGTAGTACCATACCCATAGTCTGATCTGGGTGTTTGTTCGTGCACAACAGATGAATGATGGTTTCACGCACTTGTACTGTATTCCGGACATGGTATGCATAGACTAAATTTAGTTATGCTATGCAGGAACATCGTCCAACAGGAGATGTACGGACGTGGCCTCGTCGCGTCGTACGTTCCTATCGATTCTCCGGAGATACCGACCAATAATAACCGGAGATGTGGGAGATGTGTCCCCATGATACTCTGTACAGCAGTACAGTACCTGTAGCAGAACGGTAGAACCCGTAGATTTTGATCTTACCTCTTGGACAGCCGGTGATTCGCCACCGACAAATCGAGTAACCTTTGCTGGCCTGGTCAACTTTGTCCCAGCAGCATACGCTCCGCTTCAACAGTTGAAATGAAGATTGCACTAGGAGGAGATGCTCGTCTATCAGCCGGTTGGGTAACAACAGCAGTTGCCATACATATTGGTCATCATCTTGAATGTCTGCCGTTGCGTCAACGCCAGCCCCGGCAATGCTCTGGAATTACCTCCCTCGATGCTCGAACCGACCGCAGGGGGAGAAGGGGCTCGTGCACCAGAGGGATGGACAACGCTGACGCTATCTTTTGATGACGCTGGGAGAGTTTTCACCACTACTGTGGATATGAGGGTCGGCGCCGACGAAGCCGAGGTACTGCTTTGACTCTCTCCCTCTGTGCCGATATACAAAGGATATGGATGGGGTGACTGCTTCAGGCGGCTTGTTCAATTCACGCAACTATACGCAAGTATTTATCCCAGACGCTTGGGTACTACAACGAAAGCTCTTGTTGCTGTGCCAACCTGGATGTCTTCATACATAGACATGCCATGGACAATGGAAGATATAAAAAATACCCGGCGTGGGTACCCCCTCCTGTGTGACCCCGGACGGTGCGTCTAGCTAGTTGTAGAATACCAAGTACTCTGAGAAGTGTACGTGCACATACGCGGCAAAAGTGTAGTGTGCACCGAAGAGAAGAAAGCAGGCGGCGCCAGAGATGGGACGAAAACCCCCCCCCTGTAGAATACAGCCTATAATACTGATGTAACGACCGCACTCGGTGGAGGGTAAACCTCTAAGGATATCGCAACTTGGATATCGGCCCTTTCTCTTACACATAGACGATGCAAGTCCTGTAAATAGGACTAGTTGGAACGTGTGGTGACCACATGGATACAGTAGTTGCGGCACAGAGCACGGCTCGGGGCATGCCCCCCCGCCAGTGTACCATCATGACCCACATGAGTGGCAATCAATCAATAAGTTACAGACCGCGGCCGCATTATTAATGATGATCGTGTTGTTGCGAGGCTCGTATTTGGTTGCCCCGAGCACCTGTTCATAATTTGCCAAGCCCTTGTTTCGACCAGTCATTGCCTCTCAAAGTTGGTTTTGGTTCTTTTATTTCTACAACCAATCACTGCCTTTTCTAGAGAAGGAAAACGTTCATCTTTTCTCGGAGGTTCAACAGTGTGACTGACGTGTAAATATGCCGGAATCTCCTGCTGCTGTAGTAGGTACCGTTGTGTTGCACCCAATCCTGAGATCACAAGGGCTTCTTCTTCCTGTGAATGATAGCCAAGCCCAGAGTCCGCGATCAGTCTCGGGGCACACCCACACTGTACATCAACGATAGCATCAAGAGGACATCGTGTACGTCTACGGTATCAACGAGCAACTCTCAGCCTTCTTGGCCTACTGTGTTCAAGGGTGACGTTGGGCGTTAGGTCCATCCTCGATCCCGAACTCCTGTAGCTACAACCGTGTTCGACTCGAGCATGACCCACAAGCCCATCGCCGAGTCTAGATTCTAACATTTGCTTTGTGCTTAACGTACTCTGGTCTTGCTCAAGCTGACACGACGGTTGTACAGGTTGCGGGTACGCTGCTGAGACTACCGAGCGATGGACCCACGAAACCATCGTACGTAGCGTAACACTATTTCTGTGTAGTGAGTACTCCACGCTGCAGCGGGCGCAGGCACCGAAACACGAAAGCCGCCCGTGATCTCCATGCTGTGTATCTCGTCGTCTGCGTCCATGCTCTCGTGTTCGTCCAACAGGCCCAGGCGGTCGTGGTGGCCGTGGGGCGTGTCCACGAACCAATCCATGGCCCTCAAGGCTTCATTCCATACGCTGTGGATCAACTACTGAATGTAGTGATGTTGCACCCATTCGACGAGCACCCGAAGAGAGTGTTCAACGGAAACAAATCGAGTGTATGAATTGCCAGTTCTAAGCCTGGATGATGACACGTTGCTTAGTTTGCAGGGGGAACTTTCGACGCGGGAAACCATGCTCGTTGTGCACCCCGAAGCAGGTTCGTGCAGTGATAGCGGAGGGCTGCCACAAGATTGGTGCGAGCGATTATCACGCTGCCCAAGCAACGGCCCGGTGGATGGAACAGGTGATCGAAAGCGGTGCAAACACAAATGGCAGATACCTTAGGCTAACGACACCATGTTATATGATGCATGTACTCCACTGCCGAACGTTGGACGCAAGCGACATTGGCGAATTGAAGTTGAGCTAAACGACCAGGAACGTCTACCCTGATCGCTTTTTCTCAGTCCCCACGAATACTCCCCGTAATTTTATTGGGTCCTTCTGATTTTGCTTTGACATTCCATTTAATGTACCCTTTTTTTGGTCGTTAACCTGCCACCAACGAAGCCATCCACGTCAACTGGACCACTACGGGTTTAATGGGTATTCAGGTCCAGGGCTGTTGTTGTTGTTGTTGTCGTTGTTGTTTATTGTGAAGACAATATCAACAACAACAACAACAACAACAACAACAACAACAACAACATACTTTTACGACAGGGTGAGCGACATTCTCCGACGATTCCGAACAGACATAAGCTACGTCTTTTCACGTTTTCAAAACCTGAATGCCGAGGAACATTGGTGTCGGGGTTGGTGTCTCTCGCTGCACGATTTTCGCTGTTTTCCGTGATCCTCAATTGTTGCGAACATCTCGCCTTTTGCTATGTCCTGTCCTCTGCACGTGGTGATGTACTTGTGGATTGCGCAGATCGAAGGTCGCGGCTACAATCGGACTGGATACATGTTCGAGGCAACCGGTAGTAAGAACATCTTCCAAACGTTCTTGGGAAAAATGATGGAAGCTGCGGAAGAACGCCCATTTTTCGTGCTCGAGGTAATAGCGACAAAGTAAAAAATACAACTGAAGTACTGTAGAAGATTAGCATTCCATTCAACGTTTTGATATCGACATGTGCTTGGCGGCGCTTTTCTACCGTAATGTCATGCTCTCCTCATTCTTCCTTCAGAGAGAGGCGGGAGCGCCTTCAGCTCCGCAGCATTTTCGCCGTATTCGATGCAGCCACCATACGTTCAGTGTGCTGTATTGCTATTGTTGTTTGCGAGGAATGTGGCTGATAGCAAACAAGTTCTCGTTGCACACGTGAACAATTTTACACACACGTAGAAAATTCTCGTCCACTAACCTTTGTTTTCGAATGTCTGGATATCGCATATCAAACGTTTTCTCTCGAGCTATCGATGCGATTGTTCCGTCCGCAAAGCAAAAATGAGGAATCCAACACGTCTCTGTTTTTGTTTTCGCGTGTTGTCCGTGGGCGGCGCTTTAGAGTGGTAGCTGGGAAGGGGCGTCAGCATCATGGGTTGCGGAGCACCTCTTGAAGCATTCAGAATCACTCCTGGTCTGCCTTGACACGTGGGACGGAGGCCAAGAAATGGCGAACACAGGGTTCGACATGGTCTCTGTAGAGGTATTATTTTGCCCTTGCACAAGTTACCGCGACAGCTACTCAGAGCGTGTGCGTCTCACGTACGTTGCCACTTTTGATGTAAATTGCGAACGCGCGTTGTAGAATATAGAGAAATCTCGGCAGCTTCAAGGCCTCGAAACGATTGGGGGCTCGTTCTCTCCGTCTTGTGAAACTCCGAAGTCGTTAGGAAATAGTTGTTCCAATGCATCGCGACGTAGATTCAAACAGTAGTTCCTCGAACCATCCTGACATGATGTATCAGCGTTGGGGTACAAGGGTACTCGCTATAT